TCTCTCTCTCTCTCTCTCTCTCTCTCTCTCTCTCTCTCTCTCTCTCTCTCTCTCTCTCACGCTAAACTCTTATTGCACTTTTGGCAACGAGCATTGTCCACATCGAGACGGGTAAAGTTTAACCACACCTTGGAGCACATTCTCTCCGCCATCTCCGCTGTGTGTGTGCTGCATGCATGTAGCAGCCGCGTGTGTGTAAACTGCCCCGCCCCCTCGCACACAGAGGGGGAGAGAGATCTCTCGGCTGGATTGGAAAAATCGAAAATATAAAAAATAATCATAGACACATTTTGCAGTCTTTTTGCGTATTAGAAACGGAGTTGGCGACACTAAAACTGCAATAATGTTTGTGTGGCATAATACATATGACATATTTTTTAGATGTCTCCGGTAACGATAAAAAGACCGATAACGTCGGAGCTTAACGGTACCACGGTCTTTAATAGTTCAGCCCCGGGGCCCGTTTCATACCGGGGCTCGGTATCCATCCCTACCCCCCACTACCTGAAACGCCTCTATTGTAGTCCCGTGTTTCCTTCCGCGATATAGTGACATCACTCACGCTTCTATTGGTTAGTGCTCCAACAACCTGTACGTGATAGGCTAAGGGGCGGGACATCTCTGAGCGACTGACTAATCACAAGGGGCCGGCCAGCTTACCAATCAGAGCAGACTGGGCTCTGGTTTCAGACAGAGGGTGAAAAGAGGTTCAAAAAGCTCTTTTTTAATAAAGCGTCACAGTAGAGGCAGAACATACTAATATCAACCTGAAAATGCGGATTATAGGGCCCCTTTAAGAAGGCAACAATATTGTTGTAAATAAATAACGTTTAAAAAAAACCTCTTTAATGTCTAGTTCGAACAGCTTTCTGAGCGCCTACTTGTTGGTGGGGGGGTCCTCGATGCGGTTGCCCAGCTGAGACTCGTGGCTCTTGCTGCGCGTCAGGGTGATGTTGGGGAGCAGGTGCTGAACTTTGCGGGACGGAGGCGGAGGCGTGCAGGGGGGCTTCAGTCGGTGTCGCCTCTTGGAGGGCGGAGTTATGGGCGGGGTGGATGTGCGCCCGTGGAGACGGGCGGTGTGGGATAAGGCCATGGGGAACGGGTCTGTCAGAGGGCTCTCAGTGGCCAGCCCATCAGGCGTGGGCACCGCCGACACAGAGCCCGAGCGGTGGTGAGGGAACACGGCGCAGGGGGTGGATGGGGTGGAGTGGACGGCTGATGGGCGGGCGAGAGGCGAAGGACTGTGAGGGCGGAGCGGGGTCCCCAGTCCGGTCAGCTGCTCCGCGGTCAGGAGAGGGCCACTGTCCCTCCTGAAGGGCTCTGACATCCAGGGAACGTCATCTTCCCTCAGCTCACCTCCTGCACAGAAGGAAAATTCCGTATGACAAACAAGAAGAAAACAATGTGATCCATGCTGACTATAAAAGGCTCCTGTGGAGAATACCCATACCTGATTCCGAGGCACTCTTCAGACAGGAGAGGGCAGCACTGAGCCGGGCACATTCCTCTGAGCTGGACCCCAGCCTTCGCATGGTTTCCCTCACCTGAGCAACTGACATCTGCAGCAAGGCATCCAGGGAAGACTTTGTTTCCACTGCCTGCAGACAAACAAAAAGAAGGGGTGAGAGGTCAGTATAAGAACAAGTAACAAGAGAAAAGATATATATAATTAATAATTGGAAAGCTCCAAAAAAGGAAAAGAAAATAGTAACAACAACAACAACAACAACAATAATGGGTAATCAGAAACAAGGTTTAAATAATCATCAGGCTAATGGTGGTCCTTTGCTAAATCTTAAGAGACAAGGTGTATTTTAGCTTTCTCCTGTAGGGTTTTCTTTAAGGACCATACACACTATGGATAATCATTAATGGAATATTTAATCTATTAATTGTTTGTTCTATAAAAAAAGTCAGAAAAAAGTTAAAACGCCCTCAGTGTCTCCTATGGGATGTCTGTATAATAACTGTTTTGTAAACCCAAAGAAACCCAAAGATAAAGATAAAAGCAGGAAGTTTCCATAATTATGAAATATCATTTCCAGCCATTTTTTCATAGAAAATTATTTTATGCAATTAATTGATTCTCAAGATTGTTGGCATTATTTTTCTGTCCATCGGCCATAAAATGTCATTTTTGTATGGTTTTAAACCTGTGTTATACAAGTGAAAACAAGACCAGGCTTGAACTAGGATTCAATTAAATGTCCATATGGGCTGGGCAATATAAAGAAAATCACATTTCATCGTTTTTTTTATAATCCAAATACTTCAATATAAGGATAATATTGTAGGGTTGACCATTTGTGCCTCCACAAAATATTGACAAAATGAGAACTTTTATAAATAGTCATCTTGACTGTGGATAAACATTTGGGGGAAGTTCTTAAATCAGATCACTTTTCTGTAATGCTGCCTTCAAAACCATAAAAAGACATGTTACAATTTCAAAAATCGAAGCAGATGTCTAGTATATAATATCTATATTATACCCAGCTAGAGTTTCAATGTATTACTTTGTATTCTTTCCTTTTTATTCACATCACTCAGGATTTGGTACACATCTAAACAATGGTGCTGTCTAAGATATGAGTGATCACTGAACAGAAGGAGGCTTGACAGCAGCTAACAGGAAGACAACAGATACCACAACATTCTGAAAGTAGAGGATAACACTAGAAAGCCAAGATCAAGTGGGAGTAGCACTGGTAGGCTACAAATTAAAAGTATAACACTCAGGCAAGACAATAATACTTGTTTGCTTAGAATAAACTTAGAAGACTAGGCACCAACAACCACTCACGTTTAAATGTGAATCAGCTATCTTATCAAAAAATGAAGAGACGGTAAAACACTCCTTAAAATCAAACATTAACTACTACTATTGGCTACAAACACAAATAACATAGTGGTCATGTATTTGGATGTATCTATTAGATGTGCAATGACAACAATAATTCCTCAAGTTACAATGTATTTGGTAAAAACAAACAAAGTCTAAAAAAGTGTATTGCAAAAAGCAGATAAAAATCAATTAAGGAAGAGTAGGTCAAAGGCCGCTAGCAACACCACAAACTGTTTGTGTATGAAACAAGGAAATATGAGATAGTCCAGTGTGCTGAGGATGTTTTTCTGACATGGGAAGTACGCAATTGCTTATCAGTCAGGTTAAACCCTTTGATCGGAGAGGGCAACCAATGATCCCAAAACTAGGGCAGCCTCCCACACTCATGTGTACACTGTAAGCAAGAGAAAGCACATACGCAGACACACGAACACACGAGGGTGAGTGATGTGATATTCCAAAGAGGCTTTGGGCCCTGCCTCCCCTCCCACCTACTCACTCATAATAACATTACAATAATAGCACCACGAACAGCATGGCTTTTCCTGCATACATGATTGCTGTACTGCACCGTCATGACACAGTATTATTGGTCAGAACCGTTATGCATGTGTACCATAGATAGAATAAAAGTAGTGGATGTGGAATTTCAACAACACCCATAGATTTGTGAACAATGACTTGTCCGGAGGAGACTATTGTGAGAGTATTTTCTTGTATTGCAAACTGAGGGTTACCATCTACCAGTGGCGAACCGTCAGGGCCTTCAAGGTATTCAGAGAATACCCTGGAACACTCAGATAAAACAAACAAAACATCGAATTATTTATATAAATAAAATGTAATAAAATGTAATAAAATGTATATAAAATGAATAAATGAGAATTGCATCTGTGTTGTTGATCTGTAATATTACAGTGTCGTTGATTTGTATTTCCTTCTCGGACCATGCACTACGCATTTCAGTGGTTTTGTGTTAGAAAAGAAAGCAACCAATCAGATCTTGTTCTGGGTCTCTGGGTAGAATATCCTTCAACCAAGGTATTCTACATCCTTGATAGAATGCCCTGGCCGTTGCACTGAATGAGAGCGTACGTTTGGACTGACAGTTTGATCAACCAATCATATATTGATTTGCAGCCAATG